ATTAGTGAGGCTGAAGATGGGTCAAAAGAAATTTCCTACACTGAAATGCAATGAAAAAAAAATGAATGGAAAACAAAAAAAACAATGGAAGAGAATATCCTAGAATTGTGAAACTATCAAAAAGTGTAACACATGCAGCAGGCAGAACATCAGTAGAGGTATCATTTAATCAAGCACTACCATGAACCATCTGGAGCTAACCAATATTTATACACTTCATTCAATGTCAGCAGAATAAACATTCTTCTCAAGTTAACATGGAACATTAACCAAGATAGACCACATTCTGTGACATAAAACACATTTTCACATTTTTATTTTATTTTACTTTATTTTTTTGAGTTGGAGTCTCACTCTGTCGCCCAGACTGGAGTGCAGTGGCCACTCCCGGCCACCGCAGCCTCGACCTGCTGGGCTCAGGCAATCCTTCCGCCTCAGCCTTCCAAGTAGCCGGAATTACAGGTATGCGCTACCACGCCCGGCTGATTTTTTGATTTATTGTAGAGATGAGGTCTCGCTGCCCAGGCGGGTCTCAAACCCACGGGCTCAGGCAATCCACTCACCTCAGCCTCCCAAAGGCGCAGGATTACAGGCTGAGCCACCGAGCCCAGCCACATCTTCACACTTTTAAAAGAAGATATCATACTAAGTATGCTCCTATGAATTTAAAAATTAATAAAATAGCAGAAATCCCAAAATATGTGAAAATCAAACAACTCACTTCTAAATAACATATTAAAGAAGTCTCAAGAGAAATTTTAAAATATTTTTATTTAAATTAAAATAATATTTCAAAATTTGTGGCATGCTGTGAAAAAAGTGCTTGGAAGAAAATTTATACCACAGAATGCATATATTGGAAAAGAAGAAAATTCTAAATCAGTAATCTAAGCTTCCACCAAAGGAAGAGTAAATTAAATCCAAAGTAAGCAGCAGGAAAAAAAAATCAGAGCAAAAACCAATGACACTGAAGACAAGAAAACAATAAAGTCAACAAAACCAAAAGCTGGTTCTTTGAAAAGATCAATAAAATAAATAAACCCCTACCCAGGCTAAATAAAACAAAATAAAATAAATAAATAAGTAAAGGGGGCATAGATTACTAATATCAGAAATAAAAGAGGGACCATCACTACTGATTTCAGGGATACTTAATAATAAGACTAACCATAGACCACAAATTTGCTAATCTAGATGAAATGGATCAATTCCTTGAAAAACACAACCTGCCAAAACTTATTCAAGAAGATATAGATAATCTGAATTGGCCTATATCTATGAAAGAAATAAAATCAATAATTAATAAATTTCCAAAACAGAAAGTATCAGGCCTAGATGGTTTCACTGGTGAATTCTATCAGATACTTAAGGCACAAATGCCATTCTCTACAATCTGTTCCAGAAAATAGAAGCACTGAGAACATTTTCTAACTCATTCTATAAAGCCATATCATGCTAAAACCAAAACCAGCCAAAGACCCTAAGAAAAGAACTACAAAGCAATAGCTCTCATGAACATAGATGCAAAAATTCTCCACAAAATATTAGCAAATTGAATCCAACAATGTAAAAAAGAATTATACACCTGACCAAATAGGAGTTATTTTAGGTATACAAAGCTGGTTTAGAAACTCAATTAATGTAATCTATCACATCAACAAGCTAAAAAAAAAAAAAGTATTTGACAAAATCCAAAATACAATACCCAATCATGATAAATACTCTAAGCAAACTAGGAACAGAAGGGAACTTCTTCAACTTGATATGATATCTACAAAAAATCTACAGCTACCATCATATTTAATGGTGAGAAACTAGATGCTTTCCCTCTAAGACTGGGAACAAGGCAAGGATGTCCATTCTCTCTATTTATTCAACATCATACTGGAAGTTCTAGCTACTGGAATAAGACAAGAAAAGGTAATAAAAATATAAAGATATAGAAGGAAGAAATAAAATTGCCTTGGTGGCAGGTGACATATATGTAGAAAATCCCAGAGATTCTATAAAAAACTTCTATAACCAATAAGTGATTATAGCAAGGTTTCAAGACATAAGGTAAACATACAAAAGTCAAATGCTTTCCTAAAGCAATTAAGTAATAAAAAATTGAAATAAAAAACACCACTATATTAATATAAAAAATTAAAATACTTAGGTACAAATCTTACAAAATATGTATAAGATCTATATGATAAAAATGATAAAACTCTGATGAAACAAATCAAGAAGAACTAAACAAATAGTTATCTCATATATATGAATAGGACAACTCAGCATTGTTAAGATGTCAGTTCTTCCCAACTTGATCTGTAGAGTCAATGCAATTCCAATAAAATCCCAGTAAATTTCTTGGTGGATATTGACAAATTGATTCTAAAGTTTATGTGGAGAGTCAAAAGAGCCAGAATAGCCAACACAATATGGAAAACAAACAAAAGTGAAGAACTGACACTTCTTGACTTCAAGACTTACTATAAACCACAGTAATTTCAGCATTAATTTATCTTTGAAAAAAAATGATAGTAATCAAGACAGTGTGGTATTGATGAAAAAACAGACAAATAATCAATGGACCCAAACAGAGGGTCCAGAAATAGACCCACATAAATATAGTCAACTGACTTTTAACAAAGAAGCAAGGGCAATCCACTGGAGAAAAAATAGTTTAATAAATGATGCTGGAACAACTGAACATCTGGATGCAAAACAAAACAAAACAAAACAAAACAAACAAAAAACATTTAGACACAGACCTTATGCCTGCCACAGAATTAGCTCAAGTGGATTATAAGCTGAAATATAAAGTATAAAACTACAAAATTTCTACAAGTTAATATAGTAGAAAATCTAGATGACTTTGGGTTTGGCAATGAGTTTTCATATCCAATACCAAAAGCATGAAAGAAAAAACTCCATGAAAGAAAAAAATTGATACATTGGACTTCATTAACATTAAACTTCTGCTCTGTGAAAGATATTGTTAAGGGAATGGAAAGAGAAGTCGCAGACTGGAAGAAAATGTGCAAAACATACATCTGACAAAGGACTGTACCCAAAATATACAAAGAATTCTTAAAACTTAACCCAATTACAACACCCAGCTAAAAAGTGGGCAAAAACTTTGAACAAACACTTCAACAAAAAAGATATTTGATGGCAAATAAACATATAAAAAGATGTTCAACATCATATATCAATAGGGAATTGCAAATCAAAATAAAACTAGCCGGGCAACCCCATCAGGTCTCCTCCCACTGTGGGAGCTTTTCTGTCCTCTCAGTAAATCCTGCTTTCTAAACAAACAAACAAACAAAAAACAGCAAAAACAACGAAACTAGACACTACTCCATACATATTGGAATGACTAAAATTCAAAACACTGAAAACATCAAATGTTGGTAAGAATATGAAGCAACAAGAAATCTCATTTATCACTGATGGGAATGCAAAATAATAAGGCCATTCTGGAAGACAGTTTGGCAGTCTTTTTTGATGCTAAATGTAGTCTTACCATATGATTCAGTAATCGTATTCATCCAAATGAAGTGAACAGTATGTGTACACAAAAACCTGCACATGAAATGCCCATAACAGCTTGATTTTTGCCAAAAGTCAGAAACTACTAAAATATACGTCAGTAGGTGAACAGATAAACTAGCACGCTCATACAAGGAAATATTATTCAGTGATGAAAATAAATAAGCTATCAAGTCATGAAAAAACATGAAGAAAACTTAAATGCATATTGCTAAGTGAAGAGGCCAGTCTGAAAAGGCAACATACTGTATGACTGCAACTGTATGTTTGTTCTGGAAAAGGGAAAATTATAAAGAAGTAAAAAAAGACCAGTGGTTGTCAGGGGCTGAGGGATGGGAGGAGGAACGAACAACAGAGCACAGGGGGTTTTTAGGGAGATGAAACAGTTCTGAAAACTTTAATGGTGGATACATGACCAAAACCTATAAACCTGAACAATATAAAACAATGAACCCTAATGTAAACTATGGACTTTAGTTAGTAATAACGTACCAATGTAGGTTTATCAACGACAACAAATATACCACACCAATGCAAGATAAGAGAAGAAATGGGAATGTATGAAAGAACTCTGTATTTTTTGTTCAATGCTTCTGTAAATCTAAAGTTGCTTTAAATCTATTATTATTATTAGCGGTAGCGCCATTAAGTTAAAGCTAAAGCTGCACGGAAAGAGCTCTCGACCCAGGAAAGACATAAATAAGCCACGGGGTGGGGAGAGTGACACCCACTCAAGCGTCCTGTGGCGAACGAAGGGCCCAGAGGCTAACCAGTGCGGAAGAGACAGGCACCAGTGAGGAAGGACTGATGCTTCTGGCTCCATCAGGCGGCCACTTTCTTGTTCTCTTTCTCTCTCCCTCCTGAAGGTCGGGGGGTGGGGGGAGACGCCCGAGATGCTCAGTTCGGCGCCCTAATACACTGCCAGCCAGTCCGACAGACATCTATGCAGGAATGGGTTTCTGACGGGAGCGGGGTGAGGTCTGTTCTCCGGGTTGGAGTCCCACTTCGAGAGGGACTCACTCTTGAATGAATCCCCAGTCCTGTGGGGGCTGGCCCCGGACGGGGACTGGGAAATGCGGGAAGTGCGAGTCTCAGGCCGCGTGGTTCCCGATCCGCCTCTCGGTACCGCGGGAGAGGACTCTGAGACAGAGGCCCCGAAGAGAGGCGAGGCAGAGGCTGAGTTCGAGTTGGCCTACACCGTCTACTACAAGACTCTGGGGAGGAGACTCCTCCCCCTCCACTCCCCC